ACTACCCCATGCCAGGGTATCACACTACTCCAAATTCATTCAATATTGGAAATTTGAATTTCTCAGGTATTAATGCATTATTTAAAGATTTAAATTAATAAAATAAATTAGATACAATTGAAAATTAATAAATAAATAAATTGGGGTTCTACTACCCCATGCCAGGGTATCACACTACTCCAATTTCATTCAATATTGGAAATTTGAATTTCTCAGGTATTAATGCATTATTTAAAGGTTTAAATAAATAAAATAAATTAGATACAATTGAAAATCAATAAATAAATAAATTGGGGTTCATATAACCCCAGGGAAAAATATGGAAATTAATCTAATATATACTATTTATTATTGTATATTAAAAAATCGAGAAAGAAAAAAATAGTCGGTAAAAAATCGTTGAATGCTTTTTTTATATTCAATGGAATTGTGCTAATTAAATTGAATACCGATATCGATATCGATTTGCTTGAAGCAGGAATTTTAATAATGAGGAAAATGTTGATAAGTCAAGGAAGGGAATATTTTTATTTTGTTAGTGCTTTTTGTGGATATCCTTATTATAATAGGACTAATAGTCATGTTCTCGTTGAAATCAGAATCCAATAAAACCGGTCTGGGATTAGAAGCGCCGCATCATGATCCAAATGATATTGCAGGTCGAGAAGCTGCCAATATTGAAGGTAATATTTTTAATAACAATTCAGAAATTAATGAGATTAAAACTAGTATACGAATCCGGGATAAAGTTAACAATAATTGATCAATTAAAAATCAGTTATCATTAATTCCAATTAACGGGAAAATTGATATTTATCGTCAGGGAGGTATAAAGAATTTTACGCAATTTAAATTAATTGGATTAAATTAACTAATCAAGTGACAGATATTCGTAAAAATTTGTTTCTGTTGCTATTGGGGTGGGATGAGAAGGTTTTGGGGAGTGAGAAAATATGAAATTTGAGCCTGAAAACTTATTGTTGAAGGGACATCGGCGAAGCCCTGCAAACGCGGCAGAAGACAGAGCGGAAGTGGAAATAGTATAGGTTCAGCAGATACAACGGAAGCCGGACCCGATCGAATATTCATTTGGGATCTCGACGAAACCATAGTTGTATTCCATTCGCTCTTGACCGGTCAGTTCGCTGCCAAACACGCCAAGAATCCCGATTTGTTGGTACAGCTGGGTTACAGGATGGAGGAGATGATATTCAATTTAGCCGACACACATTTTTTCTTCAATGAAGTTGAAGTACGTCCATTTACCCCACAATCATCAGCTAACCAAAAAAAGAAATCTACGAAACATAATCCCATTCTTCCAGAATTCCAAAAATACACCCATTGCACCCCTGCAGATTGTCCTTGAAGTAATTAATCGGTATAATTAGATGAAATAATTTATTGTTACCAGGAGTGTGATCAAGTGCACATCGACGACGTATCCTCTGATGACAACGGCCAGGACTTGTCCTCGTATAATTTCTCAGCTGATGGTTTCCAGTGCACATCGGCGAACAACGGAATTTGTGTAGCCTCTGGAGTACGAGGTGGTGTTGATTGGATGCGAAAACTTGCGTTTCGGTACAGAAAAATCAAAGAGATATACTGCAATTACAGAAATAATGTAGGAGGATTGCTCGTTGTACCGAAGCGCGAGCAGTGGCTACAGCTGAGAGCTGAAATTGAATTGGTTACGGACAATTGGCTAACATCAACAATCAAGTGTTTAAGTCTCATTAGTAAACGGAGTCATTGTGTTAATATTCTTGTTACAACAACACAACTTATACCGGCACTGTCCAAAGTTCTGCTGTTTGGAATTGGAGGGCTCTTCCCAATCGAGAATATTTACTCGGCCTCTAAAATTGGTAAGGAAGGTATTCCATTTTTTTCTCTCATTATTTCATTCCCTTTCTGCATCTGAATAAAATCCTTGCACTTGTTCCAATTATTCCTCTTAAAATATATTTTTTTCAATATCTTCAGATATAAGGACTATATTGTTATTGTAATTAATAGATTCATTAAGCAGACAAATAGGGAATCCATTCAGAAATAGATTGTGAATGTATAATTTATACTTAGTAAACAGTGGATTAATTTAATTTAATATTTAATTAAATAATAATGCTATGGAATTGAGTGTTCATTGATTTTTTTTCTAGGAAAAGAAAGCTGCTTCGGTAGAGTCGTAGCTAAATTCGGGAGAAAATGTACGTACGTGGTGATCGGCGACGGTTCGGATGAGGAAACAGCTGCAAGGGCGCACAATTTTCCATTCTGGAAGATAAACAGTCACTCGGATACCCAAGCCCTTTACAACGCCCTCGAGATGGGTTTTCTTTAATGAAAATTTCATAGAAAACATTGAAATTTTTGACCAACTTATTGTCATTCCAATAAATTTTATAATCAAGTGATCATTGCTGTAAGCAGGAAATCGATATCGCAGACTAATTTTATCGATTAATTCAGGGTCCACAAGTGATGAACTATCGTTCATATATCGAAATGATAATGTAACGAAAGTAATTGTGAAAGTGTACGAAAAATCTATTAAATGGGGGGTGAATTTTTAACTGAGACATTTAGCGAGCTTCTACGTGTATAGAAATTATAAATTTTATCGAGATTATAACGATTAATGTGTCTAGTACTTAAAGAATGCGGCGAGGGTAGATCACAGTGTTGAAATGGTGAGAAAACATGAATCTACAATTATCTTCCTCACCTAGAGATTTAGAGAGCAATAAATTAAATGTAACGCCATTCCACCACTGGGTCCCCCCAAAAATCATGTTTTCTTTTGAAGAAACAAACAACAGATGACATTTTGTTTATCAACCTGTACCATATCAAACGAACAATTTCTTTTACGTTGTTGATACACTTAATCGAAAAATAAATATTCAGATAAGAATCCCGAGCAATTGGTATATTATTCAAAAGCAGATTTATTTATCATATAAAATAGAAAATAGCAGTTTACAAAGCCAACATTAATTCATATTCCAACTCACATTTCAATAGATTCAAACTGGCGAATCAAACGAATTTATCTACGTAAAGAGAATGAAAAACATATCAGTATTTTATAGATTTATGCCATTTCGGCGTACGTCGGGGCAGTGAGTACCCCGCAGTTGTTGTCCTTCTGGGCCATCAGGATGTAGCCATCATTGCCCCAGTAATTGGACCACGAGTTCTTAACGAGCCAGTAGTCCTGGCCATTCATCGTACCGTAGCCCACTGCGAGTACAGCATGATCCAGATTTTCTTCGCCATTTCCACAGGCTGATTCGTAGAAAACTCCATGGGAGTAGAAGGAAAACGTCTTGTGGGCTGCGTCAATGGCAACTGAGACAGGCCCATGTTTGGCAATGGCAATCTTCAGAGCGTCAACACTTTGAGGTGTTACTTTGACGAATCCTGTCATCTTGGCTGTAAGTGTGACATTATCTATGTGACAGTATGCATCCTGACCGAGATAGCCTCCATAGTCCTCCTCCGTTGGCAGACCTCCATGTTTCATTACAAATGCGTAAGACCTGAAGTCCTCACCGCCATCACAACCGTTATTTCCGTATCCCCAGGAGCAGTCGATGAGTGCTTGCTGGGAGAGTCTCACTAATTTGTTGTACTTCAAGAAGTACGCGCCTTCGATAGCACCTGTCGTACCGAAACTCCAGCAGGAGCCGCAGACCGATTGATCTGGAATTGTCATACAAGACATTATAGCAATGAGGAGAGAAAAAATTGTTTATTGTTTTTGCAAACTATTGGTAATTGGAATTGTTGGAATAATTATATTTTTTACCTTTGACTGGAGTTACAGCCCCGTAGAGACGCCAGTCGAAACTGTCAGGAACATCTTTAATATCTTCTTGAATATCATGGGGGAAAGGCAAGCCTCCTTTATCCTGGACCCCAGTGTACTGTTTTCCCCTCAATGCCTGCAACTCTGTGTCTGTGCGATCAGCCAAGTGATTGACGTCCAGCTGGTACCCCAAATTGGCACGATTTGTTGAGTGAATTAGTCGCAAGTTCTGCCTGAAAATCTCCTTACGACGATGAGGTTCCTTGTAATCCACGGAGTAGTCCTTGTTGTGAGTCTTTCTGAAATGATCAAACTCGATGTCCACGTGCTCGTTGTCGTTGTGAATGAATTCGCGGATGGGATTGAAGGTCACTACGTGCCTGTTTCCAGGCCCTGGAAAGCTGCCACACGTCATATTGGCTTCGATCTTAAAAACATCAGCACTTGGAGTCTCAAATGAATACCAGTCATATTCGATATAATAATGATCGTAGTGGGATCCCAACAGAGTGTTGAATCCCCTCATCTCGTATCTGATGGGGATGGGCTCTTTGGCTCCAGTCATCGATTTCTTGTATCTGATCCACAGGGTGTACTTGTTGTTTTTCTCGCCGATTTTGTCAACTAGTCGCCATTTCTCGCTCATGAAGCCGTTAACCATCTCCTCGCCAATGCACTCCATGCCATGGGTGTCAGGGACAATCGTTTGAATTGCCACTGGTCCATCACTGCTACCCTCGACCTTCATACATCTTTCAGCGTTCAGCTCAGTGTCTGTTGTGACAGGGGCAAGTTTCAGCATTATACCGAACGCGCCCTGATCGGCAAGTTGAAAAGTCTTGACCATTCCTACAGAAGAAAAAATTGATCAAAATTATGAAAATTGTTTCCTTATTCTCTAATCAACTCCTGAATACATTTATTCTCATTTATTTTTGGCTTGGAATCAATTTTAAATAAATAAAAAAAGTATTGAGTATTCAAATACTTTTTCACAGTGTTTAAACAATCCTCAAAATTACCTCCATAATAGTCAATACGACTGGATTGACTCTGTGCATCATACCAAGCATAAAATGGCTCTCTGATCTCCGCATAGGGGATGTAAAGTGTTCCTTTAGCTACATATTGTTGACTGAATACTGGAGCCTCCTGATCTGCAGTGGTACTCCCTGAATAAAAAACCCATCATTACTATTACGAAGACTGCAATTGAAAATGTCAGACAAAAAGATTATATTTTGTAATACTCACCGAGGAAGAGGAATATTGCCAGAGCGTGGCACCACATCTTGGCGTTTATTATCTGTACAATAGTTTCAGTTGATTAGTTTTATAAATAACTGTTGAGATTATATTCTACACGTGATATTCTGAACAGATCGGCGACACATTGACCTCTGTAATAAATAGATAAATACTTCTACGACTGAACGTTTCGATTACTTTATTTACTCTTGACTTTTGTTCTCGTTGTATATTATAATACAATCCTTTAGGCACTAAAATATGTAGACTAAATGCAAAAAAATGAGAATTTTAGTTAATTCAGAGATTAATGTTTGGTTTACAAAAATGTCTGCAATAGGCGGGTGAGATTAATTAAGTAATACCGATATTTACGAAAAATACTTCAGAGAATTTAAGAGGGATATAGCAGTATTTATTCATGAGGAATTACTGACTACAATACTGAGCAGTCATAAAATACTTTTCCCTTTCTTAAATTACATCGATTGTTAAGTAGTTAAATCTTTTCGCTTCATCTCGATTTTTTAAAACTTCTATTCACAAAATTGGAAATGAATACCCACAGTGAATATTCGTATTACGAATAAAAGCACCCCAAATAATATAGTGTTTACCCTCTCACCATTTTCGACGGCTCCGTTCACCAGAAAGCCTCGAGCCTTAATAAAAATGTTGCGTCTTAAATAGTGACTCAGTGAATTATAAGAGCGGAGATATTTTTGATAGCATGAGGAACAGAGAATGACGCCAAAAGAGAATCTGTATATGTCCCCCACTGAAAACACAACTCAGCAATAATAATATGGCTGTGATGATTTGTTGGAGGGGTGAAAAGTTTTCTTACGTCTTGTTGGGGTTTCTTCGCTGGAGATCAGCTACTTCTCCAAGGTAAGACAGATTCTGGAGTTCTTCCTTTTTCTGTCTTGCTCGTGAGATTGCAGGTAATTGCAGGAGTGGGGGGTAATTAGTGGGGGAACTTTCAGCGAATGGAACAATGGAGTGACCACAGGGGAATGCCCAGTGTCTGCTTCTGTTTCACTCGCGGATTTGTTTTGCCATTTTCTGGGAAATGCATCAGCTGGCGCTCATACCGGCGTGCAGTGCGCGCGGCGCCGTTTTTGAATCCTGCGGTGATAAAGTACATGACGGTACATATGTACAAGTCAATGCGTTAGATATTACTTTCTTCAAATGTTTTTTTTTGTTTAAGGCCCGGATGGACTGTCTGGAAAAGATAATTTACTTCAAAATTGGGACTTCTAATTACTCCGTCAATTAATCGTTTTTTCCGACAATTGTTAACTAGCGGCCTAGTTGTTGACAACCGCTAGAACGCTAGCTAATAATTATTGAAAAAAACGATTAATTGCCAAAGTAATTAGGAATCCGAATTTCGGAGTAAATTATCTTTTCTAGATAATCTACCCGAGCCTTAAGGCCCGGATGGACTGTCTGGAAAAGATAATTTACTCCAAAATTGGGACTTCTAATTACTCCGTCAATTAATCGTTTTTTCC